TACCCTAAAATATGAACTAGCGCCCATCCGTCCCTTAACCCATTTTTCTTTTGTTTACGAATTTCTCAACTTTCACTTATCATTAGAGGCCCTACTCTCATAACCTCAATATATTCAAGCTCTGCTCCCATCACCTGAATATATTTCTTATTTAAATATTTATTATGAAGATTTATATGTTATTAAATCTTGAGTCTAGTATGAGATTATCCTTTTAGTTGAAAGATGACACCATTCTTGTTATCCATGTGTAGAGACTTAGAATTTGTTTTAATCAAACCATCATCCTCCCATTCTTCCCCCTTTCCCTCTTACTTTCTCTTCAAAAAAAAATATATGATTTTTATCCCAAATTGGGATGAGTTGTTCATCTATTGGAGGTGAGTCACCTAGCCTAAGATTCGTTCTTATTCACCTAAGATTCTTTCTTATTCTCTTCCTCCTCATTCATTGTATCAACAGTCTCTTCTAACTTGGTGACTCACATTATTCCCTTCCTCTTATCTTATCTTTTGGTGATTTAAAATATTGTTTATATAAATATTATTTGGGTGCATGCATAGCCTCTCCTATAAATATCATGCTTCCTTACTTCAATCACTCATTCCAATCCTTTAAGATAGATTTCTACCATGAGAGAGAGAGAGAGAGAAGGAAGAAAAAGAAACAAGATGAAGAGCATGTGTGTTTGTCTTGCAATATTTCATACTTATCTTGGTGAGTGGGTTATGTAATGTGTTCTAAAAGTTCTTATTTTGTGATAAATCATGGATTTATTCTATTTACAAATCTCTCTCTATTTTCAAGTCAAGCATGTCTAATTTGTGCAATATTATATATTATTTGGAGTTTTTGTGAAGTATGTGTTATTCATGGAACATGAGAACTTCAGTGACAGGGTACAGTCATCTTTACTTCACAATAGACAACCCTTTTTTTAAAAAACCGTCATCTTTACATATAATAGATGACCCTTTTTAAAAAAAACCGTCATATTTACATATAATAGACGACTCTTTTTTTTTTAAAAAAACGTCATCTTTACCTATAACAGACGACCTTTTTTTATATAAAAACCGTCGTTAATTATCTGTAAAGATCATGATTTATTATAAAAACCGTCGTCTAATAAGTTCCCAAATTGCTACA